TATGCCCTAACCAGCTGAAAGGGCCTGTCACTCAGCTGTTTCAGACTCTGCTTGATAGCTGTCTGTGTTTTTCCACACTCAAAATCTACCCTAAGACCTGTGCCGCAAGTTTCTGGAGCACAATCATTTACTGATTTTAGATTAGTTGCAGTAACTTCACTCTTAGCTAAGTGTATGGAGAGAGTAGTCCACACCCATGTGAACTTGACCCCTGAAAATTGCTCATAAATCAAAATGAAAAATAAATAAATACCAAAATAAAATATTATTACAATTATTGATCAGACCTTAACATTCAATGAAATCTCAGAGACCAACACATGCTTGAAATGGTATAGAGAGGATTGTCAACATTGCAGAAAAGGTTATTGGCAATTCACAGAAACAGCTCTGCAATATATTTGACAATGCTGTACACAGGAAGACCAAACATGTAATTAGAGATACCTCACATCCATTACATTCAGAGTTTGAGCTGCTCCCATCTGGCCGTCACTTTATGGTCCTAAGAATCAGCCGTATCATATATTAGAAGGGCTTTTTACAGTGGGCCATACAGGCATTGAACACTGAATGACTGCATCAGGAAATACTATTTTATTATTATACTTTTTTTGCCTCTTTGCACTATTGCATCTTGTATATTGTACTTTTTAATGGTGTATTGTGTTATGTGTTTGTATGTAACTTTGCCTTGCTTGAGAGGGGAACTGCCCATTGGTCCGACATCCCATTGTTCCGACCATATTAAACCCATTGTTCCGAGGTCCCATTGTTCCGAAATCATCATGACGCCCTGTGGTTAAGGTCTGGTTAGGTTTAGGCACAAAAACCACTTGGTTAGGGTCAGGAAAAGATCATGGTGTGGGTTAAAATGAAAAAGAAAGTGACAAACACATAAACCGTGAGCCTGCTTCGCCTCAAGCCTTTCCCAGCTGACCCAGAGCCAGTCGCAGCGCACCATCAAGGTAGAAATACGCCCGCCGGGAGCCATTCAGCACCGCGGACTGTCGGACTAATGGGATGTCGGACCAATGGGCTGTCGGACCAATGAACATAGAGTTTATCTACCTATGAATTATCTAACAACACTGCCATTGTTATCCAGCTCTAATGCAATGTGACTAAATTATTTATTCTTAACCTTACAGGTCAACGTTTGTTACAATAGTGACAAACTCTTTAAAAGTGACAAGAAGATTTTTGTTGCTATCCAGCAGGTGGAAGACATGGTCCACTGTATCAAAAGATGAGGACTAAAGGGGAAAAACATAGGGCAGGCATTTGTAAGTAAATGTAAAGAATAAACACATGTCACAGAGACATTCACAACTCTCTGCTGTAATAGAATAACATATTTTCTACTCACTGTGTCAGGAAACGTGTTGCAGAGCAGTATACAGACTTCTGGTTTGGTCAAAGCGTTTTTGTTTTCATCTATTTTAGTATAGTCATCAACTGTAGCTTTGAAGAGTTCCATTGCCTGTGTGATCATTGATGTGTTGCCTGGAACAAGGAAATACTGATGATTGTGTATTCCAGTGTTTATTTTTTTATGTACATTTTACATGGCAGCAATGTGGTTATGATTTATGCTACTTTTAAAGACATGGGTTGGACTCTACTGTTTTGGGACATCCATTAAAATAATGTGAGAAGTTGGACCAGCTTGTCATGGTCAGAAATGTTTTCTGCCAGATACACTTCCTCATTTATCTTCTGAATGAAATTTTGTTTTTATTTTTTCTTTAAAAATAGGACAGCAATGTGCACATTTTGGACAGGGAAGACAGATGGTTTGAAAGAGGTGTAAAAGAAGCCATCTATGTGAAACTGGAAAAACCATTTCTCAATAGAGGAGGAGGTCTGGGAGACCACCTATCCCCCCACCTATAATGCTGTCCTTTCATCCTTGCCCAGGAGCTTTAACAGCTTAACCTCAAAAAACAATGGTCATTCACAAATGGCCTCATGTGACTCTAACGACTCCAACGACCACCGTTGCAGCAGGAGTTTCAACGACCGTCGTTGACACACCACTGGAGCACTAACGAACCAATGACATCATTGGCCTTGTGAAGACTTCCTCAGAGGTTTAATTCCACACCAGTTTTTCAGACTAGTTCCAGCCTAGTCAGACAAGCATGAACTGATGAAGCCTCTTGGATAAGAGGTTAAGATTAGTTTAAACAAGAGACATGTGCAAGTATTACTGATGCAACAGAGAAGCAAGTTGGTAGAATGATGTGACAGGCAAGTCCTACATTGTATAACAGGGACAAACTCCTGGAAAATAACAACACCATCACCATTGTTATTGAGTTCTGAGAAAAAATGTGGACAAATAATTGATTCTTCACTGAACATCAGGTTGGAGTCTGTTGCGATATCGACAAACTCCTTGAATGTAATTTGGCCATCATAAAACGTATGTCAGAGAGGCAATGACAGCTCTTTGTTACACTGTTCCTACTTACTGCCTCTGGGCACTCTTTGTAGAGCAGTTCAATCAGTTCTATCTTGTTCAGGGTGTTCCAGACATCTTCTCTTTCAATGTACTTATTTAAGGTTTTTGAGAGGAGTTCTACAGCCTTTGTGATCTTCAAAATGTTGGCTGGAACAAGAAAATGGTGATGACTATGTATTCCAGTGTTTGGTTATTTATTACCTTTACATGGCTGTGGTAATGCTGTAATGTGGTAGTGCTATATACTATATTTAAACACACAGGTTGAACTCTACTGCTTTGGAACATCCAGTTAAAACCAAGTGGCAACCTGAAGCTGAAAAATGTATGTAATAGTAAGCAGCTTGTAAAATATAAAACATGTCAGAGAAGCGTTCACAGCTCTCTGTTGTGACAGAGGTCGTTTCTACCGTACTTACTGCCTCGGGGTGCTCTTTGCTGAGCAGTTCAACTAGTTCTCTTGTTTCAACATGTTCCAGGACTCTTCATTTTCAGTGTACTTATATAAGGTATTCATGAGTAACTCTACAGCTTGTTTTATCCTCCATATGTTGGCTGGAACAAAAAATAGTGTTGACTATATATTACAGTGCTTGGTTTTTTAAAACATATCCATATTCCTATATGCATACATCCCTACATATGTACATACACATATTCCTCCCAGTGTTTCAACCATAGACTGTATAATAATGGACAGATGGATACATTTGGAAAAGAGGGTTGATTATTCAAGCAGCTCCACCCTTAAGTATGCATAAGTTTGGGCCTTAATAAAATACAAAAAAATAAATCACCCCTTATGTGCTTGTCATGAATTTTGAAATTTGCTTTAGAGACCAAAACCATATTTTATAGCAGGCTGTAAACATGTTTATTTCTACTGTAAAGTTGGTCAATTTAACATTCATGTCTTTGGGGATTTACTCTGTTTTGGATGCACGTATCATTTGATGAACTGCATTTTTTGGTACCTTCGCACTGGCTTCATTTTTCAGCTTCAGAGGTTGGTTGGTTTTAACTGGATGTTCCAAAGCGGAAGAGTACAACCCGTGTGTTTCGGTGTAACATAAAGCACTACCGCATTTACTGCATTACCATAGCCATGTAAATTTAATAAATAACCTAACAATGGAATACACAGTCATCACTAATTTCTTGTTCCAGCCAACATGTTGAGGATCACACAGGCTGTAGAACTCCTAATGCAAATGTTTGATAAGTACATTGAAAGAGAAGATGTCTGGAACACCCTGACCGAGCGAGAACTAGTTGAACTGGTCCGCAAAGAGTACCCTGAGGCAGTAAGAAGCAATGTAACTCTGGTGCAAGAGAGAGCTGTCAGTGCTTCTCTGGCATATGTTTTATGTTTTTCAATCTACTTAAAATCCCCAATGTTTTTCTTTGTTTAGGACAAAAACTCAGCTGAAGTGGACAGTATCCTCAAAAAGCTTGATGCTGACAGTGATGGCCAAGTTACTTTCAAGAAGGTTTTCCATATTGTAAAAGACTCCAACCTAATGTCCAGTAAAAAATCAATTATTTGTCCATGTTTTTTTCTCAGAACTGTATAACAATGGTGATGGTGATGGTGTTGTTATTTTCCAGGAGTTTGTCGGTGTTGCTATTGTACAAAGTATATATAGAGACTTGCCAGTGACATCAATCTACCAATTTGCTTATCAGTTGCATTACTAAGACTTGATCATCATTCTTGTTTAAACTCATGTTCTGTAGAATGTTGTATTTACCCCTGAGAGATGGAGAAAAGATGACAAGGCCAAATTAAATATTTTAGAAAAATGAAACTGTTATCAGTTTCATTCAGATGACAAATGAGGAAGTTTGTTGGGCAGTAACATTCCTAATTTTAACAAGCTGATCCAACTCCCTGTATTTTAACTGGATGGTCCAAATGTAGCATAAAGCATAACCACATCACTGCATTATGTAGTAAAATGTAAATGTACATAAATTAATAAACATCCCTAACATCCCTACATATGTACATACACATATTCCTCCCAGTGTTTCAACCATAGACTGTATAATAATGGACAGATGGATACATTTGGAAAAGAGGGTTGATTATTCAAGCAGCTCCACCCTTAAGTATGCATAAGTTTGGGCCTTAATAAAATACAAAAAAATAAATCACCCCTTATGTGCTTGTCATGAATTTTGAAATTTGCTTTAGAGACCAAAACCATATTTTATAGCAGGCTGTAAACATGTTTATTTCTACTGTAAAGTTGGTCAATTTAACATTCATGTCTTTGGGGATTTACTCTGTTTTGGATGCACGTATCATTTGATGAACTGCATTTTTTGGTACCTTCGCACTGGCTTCATTTTTCAGCTTCAGAGGTTGGTTGGTTTTAACTGGATGTTCCAAAGCGGAAGAGTACAACCCGTGTGTTTCGGTGTAACATAAAGCACTACCGCATTTACTGCATTACCATAGCCATGTAAATTTAATAAATAACCTAACAATGGAATACACAGTCATCACTAATTTCTTGTTCCAGCCAACATGTTGAGGATCACACAGGCTGTAGAACTCCTAATGCAAATGTTTGATAAGTACATTGAAAGAGAAGATGTCTGGAACACCCTGACCGAGCGAGAACTAGTTGAACTGGTCCGCAAAGAGTACCCTGAGGCAGTAAGAAGCAATGTAACTCTGGTGCAAGAGAGAGCTGTCAGTGCTTCTCTGGCATATGTTTTATGTTTTTCAATCTACTTAAAATCCCCAATGTTTTTCTTTGTTTAGGACAAAAACTCAGCTGAAGTGGACAGTATCCTCAAAAAGCTTGATGCTGACAGTGATGGCCAAGTTACTTTCAAGAAGGTTTTCCATATTGTAAAAGACTCCAACCTAATGTCCAGTAAAAAATCAATTATTTGTCCATGTTTTTTTCTCAGAACTGTATAACAATGGTGATGGTGATGGTGTTGTTATTTTCCAGGAGTTTGTCGGTGTTGCTATTGTACAAAGTATATATAGAGACTTGCCAGTGACATCAATCTACCAATTTGCTTATCAGTTGCATTACTAAGACTTGATCATCATTCTTGTTTAAACTCATGTTCTGTAGAATGTTGTATTTACCCCTGAGAGATGGAGAAAAGATGACAAGGCCAAATTAAATATTTTAGAAAAATGAAACTGTTATCAGTTTCATTCAGATGACAAATGAGGAAGTTTGTTGGGCAGTAACATTCCTAATTTTAACAAGCTGATCCAACTCCCTGTATTTTAACTGGATGGTCCAAATGTAGCATAAAGCATTACCACATCACTGCATTATGTAGTAAAATGTAAATGTACATAAATTAATAAATAAACTCAGGAATACACAGTCATCCCTATTTTCTCACTCCAGGCACATCAGAGATCACACAGGCAATGCAACTCTTCAAGGCTACCTTCGATGACTACGCTCAAAAGAACAAAGACAAAAATAGAAATGTGTTTACTGCAGCACAAAGAGTTTCCTGACACAGTCAGTGGAAAAAATATTGTTCAATTGCAACAAAGAGTTGTGAATGCCGTTAAGTCCTCATCTTTTGATACTGTGGACCATGTCTTCCACCAGCTGGATGGCTTTGTGAGTGACTCTAGCATCAGACACAGACACCAAAAGCCACTTTAAGCAGCGGTATGATACACCGCCAGTCAGCCAGATGACACCTGTTGTTGCAATATGATACACAGACAGGCGGCATTAAATAATAACGCAGCTGAATGGCATGGATGATGTCAGTTAGAAATGCTGCCTGTAACAAGGTAATATAAGAAGCTGGAGAGACCTCATCACATGCTTTTGTTGCACAAGGAAATAAACATAAATACGCTAATGTAAGTTTAATTTGCAAAAGACTGTATGCATCGAAAGAGCAGAAACTACATTTCCTGTGAAAAAAAGAACATGTATTCTGAGAGGACACAGTGCATTTAACAGGCATGAATTGAAATGCCTGCCAGAACGTCAACAACAAATGCAGCATGATACCTAGTGCGTAATATGTAGACATAAACAGCACTGACCAAGCAGGGATATGTGACAATTTTGGATGAGAACAGGTTGTTCTTGTTGAAGTTGAATCCTTTGCACTGGGGACGTACCAAAAATTAAACTCATGTACCAAAAAAGCTCAATGAAGTTTTTAAAAAAGTGCGTTATTCTTTGTTTACGTGTTTATGGTTTCTTACATTTGTTATATATAGTTGACACATTTTCAAGAAATCATGGAAAGAAAACAAAGTAATTCATGGGGAAAGAAATGTTATTACATAAGGGTGCCCTAAATTTGTAGTCAGGTACAGTTAGTCAAAGACCATGCTTTCATAAGTGCTCTCTGGTTCTTAAGACAATGTGATTTTCAGTATGACCTCTCAGGGTTACTGCATGCAGTAGATTGTTATAGACCTGGATCCACCCAACAAAACTAGGTGTGCTAGTCTGACTAATAAAGGAAAATATTCTATAACTGAGAGTGATAATTTGTACTTAAATAAGATAACAGAGGTATTTTGTTTTGATTTGATTTTCAGGTTGAGTTAAAAAAAAGTCCTTACAGATTATGGATATCAATGTATGAAGAGCTTTTGATGTTCTCTTATCGTATGGACTGAAAGGAGATTAGACTGGCCACGGTTACATTATATCGCTTCCCAAACTGGTAGTACCAGTATGAAAATGGCTTATGTCACAGGAACACCAGTAAAGAGCACATTACAGTGTTGTCACTTATATAATTCCCAGGAAAAACCAACAGAAAGAGGGGAGGGGGCTTGGAACAGGGTGTGTCAACCACTATTTAAGAAGGTTTGTGTCTGTGCTCTCTTCACAGAGCTCTCTCTGCCACCATCTCAACATCTCAACATCTCAACCTCTCAACCTCTCAACCTCTCGAAGGTGTCCTACATGTGAGTGGAAATATTTTTTTAAATATCTTTTATTTAAATGCAGCCACAACAATTTTCTATTGAACTTATACAAGTACTGTAGTTGAAACCTAATGTGTAGTAATATGTGGTATGACATGCATGAATGACTTTCTGGGTGTGGTTTTATACTGTGTGCAGTGCTATGTCTAAATAAGCTCAACATATCAGTCTATGGAAACAATATCACAATTATAACTTGAATATTATTGCAGGGACAATCGCAAAATCATTGGAGTCCAATAAATCAAAGCAACCAAGAATTCTGCAGAAAAACAAGTTAGTGAGTAAGAACAGTGTATGACAGTCTTGAGCCAAAGCCACTCAGAAGAAACACTCAGTATAGTGAAAGGGGAAGCAGCATTTAGACACCTCAAATTGTTTGAGACAGGATAATGGGCGTAGCTACCATGACATAACCCATTGGTTCGTGGACTGCCATTTTGAAGCCTTGAGTTTGGCATTTCCACCGTAGCCATATTGTTTTTTTGGATACAGAAGTGACTATATTGGGAGGGTAGCACTATGGAGGAGGATGGGTTGAATCTGTTTCACAGAGTGCTGCAGACAGCCTGTTACTCAAGCAGCCCTGCCCTTAAATATGCCTTAGTTTGGGCAATAATAAAATGTAAAAAAACAAACAAACAGAAATTCACCCCATGCATAGTTATGAATGTTTAAATTAGCTATAGAGACTAAAACTGTTTTTTTTGTACCAGGCTGTAAACATATATATGTCTGCTCTACAGTTGGGCATTTTATCATATATGTCTATGGGGATTTACTCTGTTTTGGAGTCAGACTCAAGTATCATATCATGAACAGTAGTTTTTGGGACTTCCACATCGGCTTCAGTTTTCAGCCTCTGAGGTTGCAACTTGGTTTTAACTGGATGTTCCAAAGCAGTAGAAAACATTACCACATTACTGCATTACAACAGCCATGTGAAGTTAATATAGGAAATAACCAAATACTAGAATACATAGTCATCACTATTTTCTTGCTCTAGCCAACATGTCGAAGATCACACAGGCGATAGAACTCCTCACAAAAACTGTAGAGAAGTACATTGCAAGAGAAGATGTCTGGGAAACCATGACCAAGAAGGAACTTGCTGACCTGCTCCGCAAAGAGTACCCTGAGGCAGTAAGTAGGAACAATGTAATTCTGTTGCAACAGAGAGCTGTCAATGTTTCTCTGACATTAACTTAAAACTACAACTGTTTTTCTTTGTTTAGGACAGTCTCTTCAAAAAGCTGGATGCTGATGGTGGTAGCCAAGTTACATTCAAGGAGTTTGTCGATATTGCATCAGACTCCAAACTGATGTCCAGTAAGAATCAATTATTTGTCCATATTTTTTCTCAGAACTGAATAACAATGGTGATGGTGATGGTGTTGTTATTTTCCAGTAGTGTTGCTATTGCACAACATATGTATTGAGACTTGCCTGTCACATCAATCTACCATTTAGCTCCTCTGTTGCATCACTTATACTTGATTAGGTCTTTTTTTTTTAACTAATGGTCTGTAGAACGTCGTATTTACCCCTGAGAAATGGAGAAAAGCTGACAGGGCAACCGAAGAGCAAAATAGAAAGAAAATGAAAACAAAAAAAAAATTAGTTCAGTTTCATTCAGATCATTCCTGATCCTAACAACCTGATCTAACTCCTCACAGTGTTTTAACTGGATGTCCAAAAGCAGTAGAGTTCAACCGGTTTGTTTTAATGTAGCGTGACGCATAACCACATTACTACATTACCATAGCCATGTAAAATGTACATAAATGAATAAATAAACTCTGGAATACACAGTCATCATTATTTTCTCACTCCAGGCACCACGTCAGATATCACAAAGGCAATGAAACTCTTCAAGGCTACCTTCGATAACTACGCTCAAAAGGACTCAAGCAAAAACACAATGAACAAATCAGAGCTGTGTGCGCTGCTCGGCAAAGAGTTTCCTAGCGCAGTGAGTAGAAAAGATGTTACTGTATTGCAACAGAGTTGTGAATGCCTCTCTGACATGTGTTTAATGTTTTACAATCTACTTACAGCTGCCTCTGTTTTTTTTCCTTTTCTTTAGCCCTCAGCCGCAGACGTTAGCCGTCTCCTCCCCCAGCTGGATGGCGATAACGGTGTTATTTCTTTCAACGAATTTGTCACTGCTGTTGTCTTAAACTTTGACGTGTGAGGTTAAGAATGAATAATTTAGTCACATTGCATTAGAGCTGGATAAGAATGGCAGTGTTGTTACTTTCTAGGAGTATGACAATTCTGTAACAGCCTTCACTGTGATGTGCACTGGCAAATAAATAATTTGGCCACATTGCCTCTGAACTCTCTTGCTTTATTTAATGTGTACTCAATGAAAAGAACTGAGTGATCCAACTTGCCCCAGTATCAGAGTCACTTAATATACAGGTCTTTATTAAGTGTTCTGAGAAATGGAAACTTACACACAAACACATAACACAATATGCCCTTAAAATGTACAATATACAAGATTCTATAGTGCAAAGAGGCAGGTAGGAGCAATAAATTATATAAATAATAAATAATAAAACAGAGCCCATTTTATTAAATAAGTCATTCAGTGTTCAGTGCCTGTATGGCAAGTATAAAGCACTTCTAATATGTATTATGTCTAATTCTTGGGACCATAAATCAATTGCCAGATGGGAGCAGCTCAAACTCTGAATGTAATGGATATGAGGTATCTCTAATTGCATGTTTGGCCTTCCTGCATACAGCACTGTCAAATCTCTAGCCTCTCAACACCTAACAGTCCCGGTGCACCTGGATCCCTCACGGCAAGAGAGCCCGTGGTCCAAGCCATCCGTTCAAACAGCCCTCCTCTCTGTTTAAATTAAGTGTGTCACATATGACCTGTCTTCTAATCAATTTAATGCTTTAGACAAACATCACTGCATCATTAATGTAAAGAGAAGTTTCATTCTCTTCATGATGTCCCTCATTTCAGGGAAAACAATTACCACAATACTGTAACTGCAGCAGGCCTTGATTTTCAGTAGCTGTATTTTTTTTTTTTTACCAAAGTAAACATATTAAGCTGGCACATTATATGCCCTCTGCTTCACAATGATATTTGCTCATTTCAAGCGTAGCCAGTCATTCTTTTTCATCTTTGTTCATAAATAAATAAATAAATTCACGTGTGTATCATGCTGTTATCCTACCACACTTCCTGTATCACTTCAAATTAAAAGCCCCTCAGCAATTTGCAGTTCTTTGAATGAATCAATGAATTACTTCATTTATTTCGAACCAAAATAAAACATCATAAAAAAGACAAACAAGAAAAAGAAACAGTGTCCGCAAAGGAAGGTAGAAGTAAAACTTTTGTGTCCCTACCCCTTTCTTACATTTCTTCTGTTAACTCATACTTTATTTCAATTTTTATTTATTTTTATTATTTGGCTCACAGGTTTGCTTCATCTAAGCCTGAGGCTGGGTGTGTAGCAGGAAGAAGAAACATGGCGTGCCCTTTTGTGAGTGAAGTCATGGACGTTGAGGTGCAGTTTATT